TTCTTCCAAACCCCTGGAATGGGTCTCCCCCCTTTGGGCCAAGGTTCCACTATTGCTTTGCTTTCTGAATGCACCCACCTGGCAAGGTGTCACTTTGCCCACAGTATATCGCTCTCAGAGCTGAATTTAATGTAAAATATAAAATTAATTAAAAATAAAAGTTATGCCTGAGGGGAATTATACTTCATGCAAATTATGCCTGATGAAACTAAAAATAAAACTATTATACCTGTTGAAATTATGCGTGTTGCCAATTATACCTAAAGAACAATACCTGATGGGATTTACCTGACGGGACCTTATACCTGTTGAAGTTCCCCCAAAATTTTGAAATTTTAAAAAAAAAAATTTTTTTTCCTTTTTAAATTTTTGGGCTCCAGGGATTTGTAGAGTCAATTTTCAGTGTTTTGAAGTGAAATCCTGGCTCTGTAGCTTTTGGTTCTCTTGGAATGTTGCGCGCAAGGGACATGTAACACCTTTTCATCAGAAGAATACGTAACTTTATTCTAGCTTCAGGATCAGTTTGGGGCTGGAAATACCTTCTATAATAATCATATTTCAGACCTCTGACTACCACATAGGGTAACCTACTCAAATTGAGTGAAAAAAAAATGACAAAAATACGCGTTTTAATGGGTATTTCCCCCCTTAAAATTTGAAGAAAAATAAAGTGGGCCTGATAAGTTAGCTTTTACAGCCTCTTCTGGACTTTTTTTTTCAAATTTGACAACTCTTTCTTCTTCATATAAAAAAATAGATATAATTGCCAGAATCTGAAGACTAGGTAGCTAATCCTTTGTCGTGAGAAGAATTTGAGGAAACGACTAAAAGTTTACGTAAACCTCCATAACTCAAAAACTAATTAGAGTTGGAGTCCCCAACTTTGCGAATAAATTTATCTAATAGTGGTGGAGTTTTGACCTCAAAATGACTTCCTGTGACATATATTTCTAGGACATGCAAGTTTCACTTGACAGTTCCTTAAGGTTACAAAATTTACTTTTACTAGCCACAGCAATTTTCATCCTTCTTAAAGCATAGTTGGATCAACTTTATTACCTTCCCCGCACTGCGCACAAAGAGGGAGCGAGGGGTATGGGAGTGAACTGCTGAAAGCAAATTCAGACCAGGAAACCCTTTTTTTAAAAAATAAGACATCTCAATTTTAATCTCACCGAATTCCTAAATTTCAGAGTCCAGCGGTCTTAATAATTCAGACTTGAGGTCTTAAAACATAGCCTTGTGGTCTGAATTCACAGGTCTGAATTTTCAGACCGCATGTTTCTGAAAAAGTTGGTCTGATAATTAGCAGTGCCTTTTGCGAAATTTTCTTCGGTTCATTTAGTCTGAATTTTCAGAAAAATTTTTTAACAGTGCTCCATTCCCTCTTGTAGCTCCCTGAGCAACACATCTTCGTCTGCCCGCCCCTCACAGGGGGTCCCACTCACGTCCAGATCAATGGACACATCTTCGTCACTCATCTTCCTCGAACCTCGAACCGAACGTGCACACACACAGGACGCTGGACACGGAATGACGCTTCGAGAAGCTTCTTGGCGGCGCACGGCAGAGAAGGGGAGGGGGATGCACAGGGCGGAGAACGGAAGGGATGCGCGCGCCACTTCCTCGCGCACAGAAGTTTGAATGCGATTTAGTGTTATAGACTAAGCAAGAGTTGCGCTGCGGTACAGGGGGTCAGTATGGCTGTGCGGCTGTAGGGCGACGCTGTGTGGTCAACCTAGGCCTACTCCTCGCGTGCGCGTGTGATAAGGGGTAATCGAAGAATACAGTCGAACTCGCGGCGACTTGACGCCCGTGTAGTTGGATGTTCTGCAGCCTTCCGAATAGTCCGTTCAGGTGAGTCTTTCCGGCAGTAGTCAAACGCGATGAGGTAAATCGTTCCTTCAATGGGTTCCTCACATTTGTAACTTCGTCGAAAAAGTTACAGGAAATACACACAGCACTCAAGTGAAAAATTTTTAGTAAAAGACTCAGATGGTAACGATTAAAAAGGTCGGTTCATAAAATTAGTCTTTTCACGGGTAACCTTCTACGCAGCAGATAGCTTAAATCTGTTTCTGCGACTGAGTGGCGGTTGATCTTCTAGTTTTAACAAGGCTCTGAACGCGAGTTTTAATTGGCTGCGCTGATATGGCGCTGTCTTAAGCAAACGTCAGGGAAGTCCACTTCGTCCACCAACGCGTGGATGTAATTACCCAAGTGTGCGAAAGCGTCTGTCGGTTGTCGACGAGATAGTTGCAATCACGGCCTTCCACTTTCAAGGGCAAGTTCACGAAAATAGTGGCGGCGACGTTTAATACTGCAAGAAATGGTGTGAATAGTACAACAAAAGTACAACGGGAATTGTAAAGTACAACGAGGCCTGGACTGCACTGCACTCGTCATGCCGGTTCCATTGAACTTTCTACAACACTGTGGCAAAAAGGTACGGAAAATTCTGTTAATTTTTTTGCCGGGATTCTCCGTAGCCCTCTTATCAATATTCTCGTAGGATCTTACAGTATTCTCCGTAGGGCCCACATTTATTCTCTGTAAGTCCGCACAGCCCTTCTCCGTGGGACCTGGAAGACTGTATATTCCTAGGGAGATCACTGTAAGGTCCTACGGAGAATATGCACTCCTATAAATAATCACGGTTTTGGAACGGAGGAAGTACCGCTAATTTTACACCGCCAACTACCGTTTGAGTTACGGTTTTCAATACGGCTTCCAAAATCAAACGGCTTGGCAAAAAGATTCTTACGGATAGCAGGATCTGGAACGGAACATTGAAACTGGGAACGGACAAGAGTGAAAAGCATTAACGGTCAAGCCGTTTCAATGTTTCCTCTTGACCGTGCTTCAGACAATGCGCTGTTCGAATGCTATAGCATCTCACCATAGCCACGGCTGCTCTTATCGCTTTTCCCAGCTCCTCAGATTAATCCGAGAATCGAATCCAGTGTCCGATTCAATTTTTATCTTTATATTGCACTGGAGGCAAATTAATACTGATCTTACCTCAATAATCCATTATTCCTTGCCCCTTTCCTGCTCCAACAACATCTGATGAGAAAAAGCCTTCCATTGTAGAGGTTAGCTTCTATCAGAAGTGTCCTATCCTTTCTGCTGTAGAAAATAGCTTCAGTACTCCTGTCACTGAGTCTAAGCACACTTAACCTCTCTCTCATGTTATTGATGATAAAGTCAGATAAACAAATACTGTTACAGCACATCACATATCTAGCAAGCAATTGCCTACTTCACTCCTTGATAAAAGCTATGATACAATCAAAACATTCAACTCTATGTTAAAAAACATCACAGCGAATGACCGCAGTTAGACACCTAGACTTTAAATGTTTACACACTACACTGCACTACATGTGTAATTTTTCATAGCAAGCAGTAAAACCCAATATGAGAAATTTCGCGCTCCTCAAAATGGCGGTCTGGCAGTGTACATCAGCCAGCGCCAAACTCAAACGCTATCTTTTCACCTGGTTGTCTTGCTAGCTTGATCAAAAACAGTTTACAGCCTTATTTCAAAGAGTTGTCTGAACGGTTAGTCACACTAGATGAATTGGAATTTAAATGGGAAACATATGTTGAGCAAAAGTAAAGAAAAATAATAACAAAAGATATGTGTGATTTATTTCAGTACCCTCTGTAACCCACACTAACAAAGGAATATGTAATCAAATAAAATATGTAAAGGTATAAAAATTAATCATTTAAACAGTTAAACTTTGCTCCTGTTTGTAAACTTTAACCCACACTAACACAAAAAAATAAGTAATCAAATAAAATATATAGAGAAATAAAAAAAAAACAGTTCAACTTTGCACTGTTTGTAAACTTCAAAAGACTTGTACACAAGAAATAAGTTATCAAATAAAATATATAGAGAATAACCATTGAAACAGTTCACTTTTCTCCTGTTAGTAAAATCTAACCAACACTTAATCAAAAAATTGGTGAACAAAGAAATAAAATGAAATCATTAAAAGCGGTTCAATTTCACTTTTCTTGTTTTAGTCATCCCCAAGAAGATCCTTCTGAAATCGCTCAATCTCATCTTGCAACTTCTTCACTTTGCTGAAGCTTGAAAGAGCTGGAGCTCCTCTGGCAGTTGTGGATTTCACTAAACCAGTTCCATCTGACAAATTTGCCACCATTCTGAAACGTAAAGATAATATCAGAAAATTTTGACCAAGTGATAGGCATACACAGCAGGGTCTGCTGTAATGATTCTTACCTCTCAAAATAAGTCAGCGTGTTGTTTAGACTAGTAGGATACAGCACCCCAAATATAAAATATGCTGCACACATACACATGAGTGCCTCCAAGGCATTGTTTAAGTTGCTACAGAGGCACTTACAATCCAAGAATACGAAGAATTTTTTGGTTGTGTAAAATGAGGTACCTAAGACAAAAACATAAATAAAAAGACAGAATATAATCAACATACATAATAAGACAAAGAGAAATAGATGCAACTTACCTAAAGCAACAATATGAGGTGTTGAGGGTAACTTGATAACATCTTCTACCTCATGTGGCATTGTATTTTCCTAATGAGAAGTAAGAAAAATTATGATAAAAACCATTTCAGTCTTTTCAAAACAGTAACTTAGCAATCATTCAACACTTGCCTCAACTAAAGATGCCAAGGTGGAGACATCCTCATTCCAGTGGATAGCAAGCATGAATAATGCAGCAAGAAGCCGCCTATGCTCCCCACTGCCAAAGTCAAGCTCTTTCTTCAGTCTCATTAACTTCACTCTTTGAGGGGACATGGCTATGAGGTAGCTGATAAGGTCATCCATGCTATTATCAACAAAGTTTTCAAAACTTTCGAGTAAACTTTGTCCAGTAATCTCATCCAGATGGCACATGAGTCCACTTAGTTCTGAGAGGAAGGGCCACTTTTCAGTGATAAAAGTAATGTCCCTAGTCCTAGAATTAATCAAGGCCCTTTGCGCTCCCAAGCTTGGTTCATGCTTCATCATTTCCTTTATAGCAGGCCAGTCCCACTTGTCTCTTGGAGATCTGAAGATAGACAGTAAATTTTTTCTAGTAGCTTCTGCCTCTCCTTGCATCTGTTTGGTCATTGCTATAGAATACTTCTCGGGTAGTATGCAGGCAGCACTTCTGTTTCCCTTTGCAGGAGTTTGCCGCTCACCTCTTGGTGTATTTGGCCTGTACATGTTTTCAACACATGTCTCGATTTGATTTACTAGAGACCATGAGCCATCCTTATATTGTACACTGTTCAATGTGTCATTAAAGCATGCTTTGTAGTCAACAAACAAGGCCTGCACTACTTTTTTATAAACATCTCTGCCTGGTGTTTTCTGCAAGGAGGGATTACTCTTTTTGACTTCATTGTATCTATCATATATATCATGGGATAAGAGATTAACCATTCGTAATCTGTCACAGGCTGACGGTCTTTCCTGTTTTCCCATACTGCTAAGCAACGATTCACTGAATTTGTTAAAATCAATGCGCAGGTCCAAAACTCCAACTTCGATTACTTTTGTGCTCAAGGAGTGTCTGGATGCTATGGTAGGCTGTTCAACTACAGGCTTCATTAAAGGTAAGGGTGGCTTCTTTTTCTGGGCTTTCTTTTGCTGTTCCTTTCCACCAATGTTTTCTGAAAAATACAATAAAAAGGAGATGCAAATGACATAAGTATATAGTAGCCACAAATGTGGGAGAGCAAGAGAAAATCTTACCTTTATCAGATCCATAATTTTGAAATGCTACCATGATTTTTTTCACTTGAATCTCAGTAAGGCCATGTCCTTGTAGCCATGAGGCATCGATGAGAGTAAAGTCATCAACAGATTCAACACCTTTCAATTCCAGGGTACTTTCTAGAGTAGCCAGAACAGAGTCTTGAATTTTAGGAACAACTTTTTTGATGGCGGTTCCAATTGCAGCCTTAACATCCTAAAATACAAGAGACATGGAATTATTATAAAGAATCTTTCCGGTTAATATCGTATTGTGTTTTACTCACCAAATTCTCATCGATTACCAGCTGGTCTGTTTCATCTGTATTTTCTGGTTCAGTAATACTAATTATGTCATCCTGCATATCATTATTGGCAATATTACTATTTAATACAAATGAATTTTGATCTTTAGTCATGGGTTTCCTTATAATCTGACTATTAACTGAATTAAAAGCTGAAATAATTGTTTCAAAAAATGGGTAAACAAAGTACATCAAAATTAAAAAAACAAAAAAACACCCTGAACTTAATTGACTACTTACATGTAGACTTTCCTCTAAAAGGAGAAGATTTGTTTGAACCAGAGCTGCTCCACAATGAACAACCCTAAAAGAAACAGAAAAGGAGAACAAACTGTCACAATCAGATCAAGTAAAATTCAGTAGAGGATTAAAAATAAAACAAAAAATTCAAGGTCATGCTTACAGGCAAGTCAATATTAAAGATTGGCAATTTATCTTTTGATGTGTGTAGAAAACCTGGAAGGGTGGAATTACTTCCACTGGATGAAGGAGCCTCAGAGCCTTTATACAATTCTGATGATTGGCTTTTGAGCACATCTGTTGCATCTTGAGCATGACTCCCACTAGATCCGGCAGCCTCTTTGTTTCCTCTGTTCATGAACTTCGGAATGGCCATGTCAATACCTGTAACATCAGACATTAAAAAACCACAAAATTTCCTTGCTATTGTTTTTATGACATCAAAATTATTGATAGATTACAGTACCTTTACTCTTAGCATTATTATAATCTTCTAAAGCATTCTGAGCATGGCGTTTCACTGTTAGCGCCATTCCAGACCACTCAGAAGGTGTAAAGTAGATTTTTACCTCAAAATCTAAATCATCGTCAACCTCATCAATATCAGTGGCATCAGCTCCTGCAGTTGAGGCATCAATGGTCGTGGAATTAGCTGCTGCAGCCTGTCTGATCCGTCCACTTGTCCTTTTTGGCTGAGCTAAGAGAAAAAATAATAGAAGCCTCAAATTTCTGCTTGTTTCAGTTTTGTTGCTGGGTATAACAAAGTTAAGGAAATTCACACTTCAAGATTCACAGACAGGGCCAGAGGAGGCGGATAGGCTTTATACTTCACGATTCCCCACCTCACCCCTCACCCCTGTGAATTGTGAAGTGTGAATGTCCCTAAGTCAATATAGCCTAAGTGTTTGCACTTTATTAGCGCACAACTCCAACAACTTACAAGAAATATCCTTCTGTTTTTCCACGCGAGCTTTCTTCTTTGCACTTTTGTCAGCTGCCTGTTTCCTTTTTAATATTCTATTGCTGTACTCTGTCATGAAATTTGGAGGCTGAATTGGTAAATCTGGACCTGAAAAAATAAAAGAAGTGTTTTTAAACGAGCAGTGGATAAAACAATGAACAAAATTGAATAAGTTTACTCACATCTGTTGCGCATCTGGTCATAACGGGCCTTTTGAGCCATAAAGGCACTTTTCTCTAATTTAGAAAGTTGATCAAACTTTTCGACATCAAAATACATAGCAATGTCTGTAAAATCCTCATCATTGCTGTCATGAGATGGATCTGAGTCAGAGTCACTATTATCAGGGAATAGATTTCTATTCATCTTAAAGCTGAGGACACCTGACGGGCACGCTTGGCGCTCACTAGAAAATAAAGAAAAGATCGGAGCTGAAGCAAGTCGCAGGTTTGAAGGGTTTTAAACGAAAAACTGCAAGCCAGATCGGTGAGCTAAGGGTTATCAATCCATTACTGGTTTGAGAAATTGGCGTACCTGTTGTGCAGCCCTAGTTCGTGAGGCGGAAGAACGCAATGGATTGAATTCACCTACAAGGACAAAGCGCTTTGTTGAAAAGGCACAAACCCAAATTCCAGCTCTGAAGTTCGACTAACACTCAAAACTTTTCTAAGTTCACTCGTTGGCGCCTTTGCAAATGGAGCGGCTGGCCGTACAGTGCCCTCTATGAAAGCCTCAACAACCTGCAAAAAAAACAAATGAAAAATAAAATAAGTTAAGGAATGCGATATTGCAAACATTTATTGATAGATTTGGGGCTGGAAACACGTCGCTAAATTTTAATGAAGATATTGTGCAAAGGGTTACTAGCAAAATTACGAAAATAAGTTGAGGAAACTGAAATGAACAACTTTGGGGTATTCCCTGCGCAGGCTGCCTATAGTCATAACATTTGACTGGCGAAGGCGGGCGGAGTTGGGAGCGGCCTATCGACACGGCAACCACTAGTTTGAACGTAACGGCAGAAACTTCTAAAAAACAGTCCTCAATTGGGAAGTTAGAACTCCTCTAAGCCATTATTTATTGCCCAGTGAAATTTGTGAGAGTGTCTTCCTTGTTCATTATGACGTAAGAAAGTATTTTCATTTTTTCTCTAAGTAGATTTTTTTAATGAATAAATTATTGGACATTTGTAATCAATAACATTGTACCGCCTTTAAAATCTGTCCTCTCTGTCTTGTTGCCAGGTCTTTCACAATCAGAGGAAATGTTCTCAGCAATTTTTATTGCTAAAGTTTGGCCATTAAGATAAGAGCAAAGCTGCTGCTGGCCTTAGATTTGACTACCAGTAGGTTAACTCAACCATATAATTCAAATGCAACAGAGTTATGCCTTCAATTAATTTCTCATTTCTAATCAATTTCCCAGGTCAACAACTAATTAAACATGGGCATTACCCTGGACGCTTGGCGAGTTCGAATAGGACTCTTCAATGGCCGAGGACCACGCAACCATCCCTCAGATGCTAGCAGTGATGTTATCGAACTTGGGGGCCTACTTGTAATGTCAATAGCCCTCATAAACATCCTGCTCCTTATTGGTTGCATTGAAGCCAATCCTGGGCCATTCCTTTGCCCCTCTTGCAACACCTCTTTAGAGTCATTGCCTTCGTACTTAAGTCACTTAGATGTGCACTCAAGAGACAAAAACTACTCTTTTAAGTGCTGCATCTGTCAGGAAACATTTCCTTCAAAGGGTGCCCTTGGTAATCATTTTCGACGGTGTCACTCCAATGCAGCTCCACAAGCCAGTACCTCTGCAGGTGCAAATCTTGTCTCAGATGTCCTCCTGTGTGTCAAATATAGATGTCAAGAAATTACATGTCAAGAGGAATTTCGCACAATGAAGGATCTCAAGAAGCATTTAGAAGGTCACATCAAAAATGGATTTGTAATACTTTGCCCTTTTCAACCATGTGCAAATAGATTTTCTAAAATCACCACCTTCAGGACTCATGCGAGTCAATACCACAGGGCTGATTTACATTCATCAGAAGAAAAAACAGAAAGAACATTTCATATTAATACTGAAGGTAGTGTTTGTTTCAATGATGATGATGATAGCGATAGTGCATCTGAGGCAGAAATAGATGATGAAACTGGTTTTGGGGAAGATGATAACTTTTTTGATTGTGAACCGCCAAACCATGCACACCAGGAGGAAAATGCAGGCAGGGACAATATTTATCCTGAAAACATGGTAAGGGATCATGTAGGGAAGTTCTACTTATGGTTAGAAGGAGTTTTGCTAGTTCCTGCTGTTAAAGTGCAAGCCATATCAGAAGAGATAGCTTTGCTTCTAGAAATGTCTCATCATCGAATCTCAGTTGCTTTAAAAGCACGACTTACCCAAGCCGGTATTGATGCTCAAAGATCTGATGATATCATAAAGGATGCACTCTCTAAAGATATAATCTTTAACACTCATCATCGTGGTAAAGATTTTGTGAATTTGACAACAAAACACATGAGAGAGAAGTTTTACAAGGAAAGATGTGCTTTTTTGGAAACTGTTGAAATACCACTCGGCCTAGATGATTCTGGGAAAATGAAGTATGCTCATCGCATTGCTATACGAGACACACTGCAGACAATGTTTAATGATCCATCGATCCAAAAGCAAATTGATGAGTCTTTTCAACGCACTTCAATACCAGGTGTATACAAAGACTTCACTGATGGCAAATCATATACCGATCACCCAATCTGCAGTTTGATGAAGAGTATTCAACTGATTTTCTTCCAAGATGCGTTTGAGTTCTATCCGTTAAGCCCCACTGCAGGAACTTACAAATGTTTGGGATTTTACTTTCTTCTTGGAAATCTTGATCCAAATAGCAGATCAAAAGTTGATGCTATCCAGCTTGCATTTATAGTGAAAGAAACTGACATCAAGTATTTTGGAGCTGACAAAGTATTAAAGGAGCTTATAGAAGAGTTGACAGATTTAGTTGAGAATGGTATTAAATACAGGCATGAAACTTTGCCAGTAGTTATGACTCATCTATGTGGCGATAATTTAGGGCAACATTATATTGGTGGCTTTGTGGAAAGTTTTACCGGAGAATATTATTGCAGATTTTGTGAAGCAAGGAAGAAATCTATTGAAGCCGATCCCTCCTTTACTATGCCCTTCCGTACTCCTGAAGAATATGATGAAGTTGTTGCCGGCTTAAACCCAGATGATCCCCTAGATTATAAGAAAGGAATCAAGATGGCAAGTGTGTTCAATGACATTCCCTTCTTCCATGTAAGCAATCCAGGACAGCCTCCTTGCAGTGGTCATGATATCCTTGAAGGAATTGCAAGGAATGACTATGCTCTCTTCTTACGATACTTCATTGAAGTGAAGCAATGGTTTTCTTTCGAAACTCTCAACCGAAGAATACAGAATTTCAAGTGCAAAGGTCGAGATGCTGCTGACTCACTTGTGAAGCTGGAACCATCTTTGAAGAAGATCCGTGGCCACGCCTCTGAGGTATGGCTCTTCATCCGAATGTTTCCATTTTTGATTGGTGACCAAATCGAAGACCCAGAAGATCCTGTTTGGAAACTAGCTTTACTACTGAAGTCTATTTGTGAATATGTATTTGCTCCTGCAATAACTAATTTGCAACTATTGAAGTTGAAGCAAATGATTGCTATATATTTAGAAACTAGAGCAAAGTTGTTTTCAAAAAAACTTCAACCAAAGCACCACTACTTAGGACACTATCCAGAATTGGTGACTTACTTCGGACCTCTTATAAGGTATTTATAAATTTTTTTCAACAAAAAAAAGTTTTAAGTTTGAAAAACAAAATTAATTTTAAAATAAATATCTTTTGCAGGTTGTGGACGCTTCGCTTTGAGAGCCGGCATGTGTTTTTCAAACAAGCTGCAAAATGTGCAAACAATTTCAAAAACATCACTAAAACTCTTGCAAATAAGTATGTACTCAACTTTGCGTACAAATTTACTGGATACATGTTTCCATCAACTGTTGTCTACAAGGAGAAAGATGCCAGCCCCATAGTGATTGCAGATATGAAGCAAGAAGTTGTTAATATTATAGAAGAGGACCCTTCTTTTCAACATATCCTGAAGTCAGTGGACATTCATGGTATAACATATAGTCCTGGGCTGTGGGTTTTACTTGGTGCCAAGAAGTCAGATCTGATAGTTGGTGAAATACTTTTTATTCTCTATGATGGCAGCAAAGTTAAATTTGTTTTAAAAGTTTGCACTGCTGTTAACTCTAACCAAGGATACTATTCTATTGAAACTGATGAACAATTTGGATCCATTTTGAAAGAGGATCTTGTGGATTACTATCCACTTCCAGCTTATGAATATTATGGAAAACAGTGTTTGACCCTTAAGCATACTTGCCCATTTTTGGATGAGTGACATCTTTTAAAACTATGTAATTTTAGATACTCAGTGAAAGAATTCTCATAATATTGTAACATTGTCTTTGTAAAAAGAAACAATGCACTTTTCCTTATCAAGGGAACTTTAATTTAGCTTACCAATAATAATCTAATTGATGCTTTACTAGTTTGTAATTGGAGTAGAATTTTAAAGAAGTAAAAAATAAAATAGAGAATTAGAACAAACTTTTTATTACTGAGATGCCACCTTTGTTAAGTTGTAATAAAACTTTGTAACAGTATGTGCGAGCTTCAACATCAGCTGACAGCAACTGATTCAAAAGAAGATTAGAGCAGTTTTACACATTCAATTCTAAGGCTGACTTCATTCTACTGTAGTGAGTTTACAGCAACAAACACGATGACACTCCTCATGCCGAATCAGACAAAACAAACAATCATACCATTTAGGAGTCATGATGAGTCGCCAATCACACTCATCCAACTGAGATGAATAAATCATAGGAAATTGTAACTATTTCAAGAACAGCCAGAAAGTGGATGTCATAGTAACTGTTCTATGTGAGGCCAGGACAGCGATTCAGTTCTCTTGCGTGCTTATCTCATACTCCTTGCTTGGATTACTGCATCTAGAAAAACAGGAGACACAGATGGGCATAAAAATCAAAACAGAAATGATAAATGAATAATATTAATTTATAAAATATACCTTTGCAATAGCTGAATGATGTGAGACATCCATATGCAGTCCTAGATTATTGGCCTGCGGCAGCTGCAGATACTCGATAGCAACAGACAGTAGCGAAGTTGTCAATGTGGAGTGGTGAGCTGTGACAGTTTCAAACACAACTTTAGGACCATGGCAGAAGTGCTATTCATAATTACAGCTGTAAAGCTTTATTTGGAATTATGGAGGCTAAATTTTTAGCTATTGGGTTTTGATTACAAGAAAATTGCATATCCAAGGTTCACAAGGAAAGGAGGGCTTAGATAACAATGGGACTCACATAAATGAATGCGCAGTTCAGGAGACCAGGGAGATGTTGACAAATCCGCAACTGCAGAGAGCTTGGCAATAATTGGTGGGAAGAAAAATTTTCCTGAAGTCTCTGGCTCCTATCCTGTTGAATATTCCATTGAACCTGGAACAAAGGCAATAAACATTAAATTCTGTTGCTGCTTGTGGGTGTAGGTTATTACCAATGCATTCTGTTAATACAAGCAGAAGAAAATGCATTGATCTCATATCGACAGCCTACGAAAGGGAAAGATGCTGTTCCCTTCCCCTGAAATAATTCAATATAAAAACGGAAAGTCGGAATCTTAAAAGCAATGTACATTTCAAGGGTAAGGTTTAAATCAATTGCCAAGCATGACGTGAGGGAGTATTCCCAGGCGGCAACAGCTTCAACTACGAAAAGGCGAGGCGAGAGAAGACTTCGTTAAACTAGAAATAGCAAATATATTTGCTTGGAAGGGGAGGTGAAAGTCTATCAAACAACATGCACTTTCATGAACAACTAACGAAAGCATTCGCAAATGTGTACGGGTTTGTTTACAAATGTGCAGTGCATCTCTCCGAAAAGCGAAAGCAAAGTAAGACGATGAGAAATTCAGTAAAATTGAGTGCACAAGGCAGATATAAGTCAGAGCTCAGAACGACAGTGATCTCGAGACTGAAGCATGCTCTAAGCGGATTCTTGAATGAATATTACCCCCTTTTTCAGAAAACCTTGTTTCTCGTTGGATTGCGGTCAGCGCCCAGGCGGCTGTTTTCGTGCGGGTACGGATCTTCAGATCTTCTCAATTTATTTCTCATAACCCACTGCAATGCCCCCTCCTCCCCCCGCCCCTCCACCTCCACTGCCGCAGTGCAACAAGTAAATAAATATGGCGACCTCTTGCACACGGAAAGTCTGGAGTTTGAACGTTTGGAGTGCTAAAATTGTGATTCACGCGAGAAGTTTGGAGTGACGTTTGTGAATATGAAGGACAATCAAGTTAAGTAAGGGAGGGTGGGGCACCTAGTGACACTTTTTGGATTTTGGCACTCACTCCGATACTTGCGAGAAAAGAATCTGCTTACACCCCAGAAGGGTTTCTTTGATCCTTCCTTGATCGCAAAAACATAGTGTGGCGTTTTCAACACCTATTTCTATTATTTTCATAGCTTCCCGCAGACCTCTGCACTTGTCACTTGGTGCCCCAGCCCGGGGGACCTATGACAGGTCATATAACCACATTACCGCATAGAGCGACGCTCCAGCTAATTGAAAAATTTTCTGTTTTAGACTCTTTAAACTTTTTAAATATCAAACCATTCTGAACGGCGCCATTTTTTTCCCCAAAAAACTGCTTTTACTCATTGCCAATCAATTCAAATTTTTACGAAATTGTCGTACAAATTTGTCTTATTTATGTTTCGTTGTGTGACAACGGTTTACAATTTACTTCCGGTTGCCAAAACGATGTTTTAAAACGTTTAAATCGTTGCAATACGGTAAATAGAGTGTGTCTGTCACTACCTGCCCCGGGGCTCATTTCCGTTCAAAATTTGATATTAAAAAAATGAAATCATGTGTTTTTAGCTGGTTAAGCGAAAACAAATTCCTAAGGGGCCTTATTATTGATTAAAAGTGCCCGAACGATCGGCAGTGCCGTGTACTGGAAGAATGCGAGAAAAAATTTTGTTAACAAGTCGTAAAATCTGTGATTTTGGGTAATGTTTTTTTGCTTTTATTCTAGGGCTAAAATATTTTGTTCAAAGTCTCACTTTCACTTGAACATGATTCCATAGCACAAGACCTTTAGATAAGCCACCTCAAGGTGTCTGAAAGAGCCATAGGGTGGCCAGGGCACCCCTGTGTCACTAGGTGCCCCTGTCACTAGGTGCCCCACCCTCCCTTAATGTGTTCATGAAGGTTGCAACATCCTTTTGAAAGAAATTCCCGCTTTTTCTCACAAGAATGGCCACTTGTGGTGACAGCTACACTGACCAACTCAGGATTGTGTTCTCATCATGTTGCTCGGTTAGTAGCCTGCAGCTTTCTCCCTGTCAGAAGATAACTGTGCTCACCAATCATTTTATATATAATTGTGTGACAGCACAAGCAACCATTCACTTGTCTCAATGTGTTAGCTGAATTGATAATAATTAATTCAACATCATTATAGATAGTACTCATGCACAAACATATCTAAAGTAATTCTTTTAACCTGTGTTTGAAATGAAGTCCTCGGCTTACTCTTATGTCTGATTTCCAAATTATCGAAGAGTCCGGCTTTGTGATTAGCTTTCATGTTAGAATATTGAACGGTAAGGCTATCCTCCCAAACCGTTTTGGTTTGAAATGTCACTTGAACGGAAACTAGATTCACTCCCTAGGTTTTACAGCTGTTCAACGGTTTGACCGTAGTAAGAATTTGTACGGCTTGAGTCTAGGTAAAGGTAACGGTGAAACCGTTGAGCTCCGTCCCACTTTTTTGGTCAAACCGTAGTGATCCGCTTCAAATGTTCTCCGTAAACTTTCCGTCTTCCAGTCCTAATTTATTGGAGTGTGATCTGCCTGCAGAAAACTCGATTTTCGCCGTTTTTAGGTGTTTTTTGGCTATAAAAACTGAACCACATGAGCTAGGATAGTGAAATTTCGCGTGTGCCGAGCCAAGAACATATCTAACAAGCCTGCAAAATCTCAGCAAGATCGGCCGAGCCGTTCAGGAGGAGTAGTGTGCACACACACAGACACACTCACAGACACACAGACAGACATACAAAACTTTTCAACCGCACTGGAGTAACGGGCTTCGCTATCGCTCAGCCAACAAGACCTGCATCTGTATTTTCAGGTTACGAGTCAATGCCGCTGACCGACCAACTATTGAATCACTTTGGTTTGGCCAGAGATTCCTGAGACTTGGAAAATGGTACTTATATCAACACAAAAAGCTGGATATCACTGAGTCACTCTCTTGATAAAGGGGTTGACACAGCAAGGGGTCTCAGTTCATTCTCAAATCAGGAAGACTTAAGCTAGCCTCAGAGCCCTAGCCTGGCCCTGCCGCATCACGCCGCTCCCTCTTCAAAATCTTCCTCAGAACAACACTTGAATAGTTTTGAAATGGCCCGAGAGCACTCAGGCCTTTCGAAAGTACTGCGACACGATAAAACATGACAGACACACACTATCGTTGACCGTGGCGAGACGAAATGCACACAAAAGTAACAATTTCAATGTTTCGTTTGTCTAAGAGGAGTAGCCATGTTTACTGTTTTTGTTGTTTTGCTTTTGTTGATTGCTTATGCGCCCTAACCTGTTAGGATCAGGGCGGGGAAGAACTGGACACCCCACATTTTACTTCAATTGCCGTATGTACTGACCTGACAACTGTCGTGTAATGAACCGCTGATGCCACGGAACAACTTTTGATAGTTGTTATTCCTGTGCCTACGGTATTTGAAGTAAAATATGGGGTGTCCAGTTCTTCCCCTGTCCAGTTCTTCCCCGCCCTGACCCTAAGTGCAAATAACACGTGGAGGGCGAATAACATATTACGTGCGAATAACATATTACGTGCGAATAACATATTACGTGCGAATAACATATTACGTGCGAATAACATGTTATTCGCCCTCCACGTGTCAATCACCATTAAAAAAATTCTGCACAATTTTAGATAAGTGTGGGAGTTGAAACTTCGGGAGCACTTCCTTGTATTACAGTCCTTGGTGCAACTGAAATCTGTAATGACCTCAACATTCCCTGCATAATCATTCATAGCTTGTTGCACGCTTCCACATTCTAAATGTGCAGTAAGAAGAAGTGAAACAGGATTGTATGTTATTTTTGTTCTCTTACAATCAACATATGTATCCAAAACACACACATGAGCTGAAGTCATCAAATGATGATATGATAATATGAAACATATCTCCCATTAACATACCATGTGTTTCCATCAACCAACCAAATATTCTTCATACAGCGGTGGTCTGCTTAGAGCACAAATCCAATCTAGAAATCAATATTATAAATTGAAGTGCAAATAGGTGGGAAAATGACCCCAAGATGCGAATCTACTGCCCTGTACATCTCTGTTCTACGTCATGCCGTTTTTTGGCGTGAATTGCCCGTCACGCCAATTTTTGGTGTGCCTTTTTGTCACGCTACAATCTTACCATGTGTCCGACCATTCTATTTTCAGTGTATACTTAATGCATCGGTGTGACAACAGTCTGTCCCACGCTTTCTAACGTGGGCAGTTTGTCCCAACTTATCTAGTGCATCCCTGTCCCACACTTGGATTTGCAGTGTGCAATTTTTACCAAGTAAAGAATTTTCCAGAAATTTTTGTAGGTTTTATTGTGTTTTTTCTAGCAGTAAAGTCAGAGAAAAGAGGCTAATCCTTAAATTCATCAGAGCACTCAAAGACTCCGCAGACCTCAATTTGAATTTTCTCCGAACTCCACCTCGTTTGATAGCACTAAGGGAACTTGGTTCCGTGGTCCATTGTCGGTAGATTTAAATCACAAAGCGTGTGCAAAGTCACTTTTGAAATTTTTTAGTTATCATTTATGCTTTTTTTGACAAATGTTCATTTCATCATTAATTTGGTAGTTACACTTTTCCCTTCAACATTTTTTTGTTTCTCTTGAAAAATGATGAGAAAACAGTCCCTGTCTTCTGCTGCATGGATCACATATCCGTCCACCTAGTTCGTGACTTGTATGCATTAACAAGTACACACGATTCCATGCCTAACATGCTCTCAGAAGCACATGCCTTTGTAAATGTGTACGAAGAAGCTGTTTGGGTTTGTACTCGACCGCAAAGCACCGGCGTTTTGATGAACCCCTCATAAAGTCCTCCACTCCCTCGCGCGGGATGCTCGTTATGGATGATACCTGCAGGTCGAAACACTGACGAATAAGGATTTTTTTTTTGGTTGACAGTGTGTTTACCCAACTTCGTACACGTTGCTTGGCCGGTGGGTTCCTCTGGCAGAGAGATCTCGTGCTGGCGCCTTGATTCTTGCATGTAAGTACGTAAAAAAACAGGATTGCATGTTAAAAATTTTGCTAAAAATTCGGTCTTTGAAGACTGAAGTTTTTAAGTGCAATAGTGATAAATTGCAAAAGGGTTGTATAGCATCTTTTTTTATGAGGTACCGTAAATGAGCTGAAAATGAGAACGAATCATGATGTTTCTCCACAGACTTGAAGATGAGAGATCAAAGAAACCGGTGGTGCGGCTAGAAACATATTCATCCCACTTTCTCTTCTTTGTTCGAAATGATAAACTTGGGGAAATTCGATCATGCAGTTCAGACAAACGCTTTTTTTCCCGGGAAAAGACCGGTACAGTCGTTTATCATGAAACGGCAAGGTAAGTTTTCCCACATTTAGCAACACTCTCACCTGCGATGCCAAAGCGTTGCACCAATTGGTGCGATGGAAACGGGTTCAAACGCATTGCATCAATTCACGCTGTTTGCTCTCATAGCGTTCACGTGAAAACAAGCTAGGGTTCCGCTTCTCTG